ACTATGGGGGTGGCTGGGGGACGCCAGGAGGGAGGGCAGTTTCAGTAGGGCTCCTGGGAAATGAATGTGGGGGCATGAGGGAAAGGGGTGGCGGTGGGCAGGTGCCATCTCTTTGGGCCTCCACTTTCTCACCTGCACAGTGAGGACACTGGATTCCGTAGTCTCTGGTCCCTTCCAGCTCTCAGGGTCAAAGGTCTCCAGGGGAAAGTGATCCTTCCACCTCAGCAACACACTGCCACACACATACACACACTCTTCACACCCTCACACACATACACACACCCACACATCCTCACACACCCTCACACACATACACATACCCTCACACACATACACACACTCTTCACACCCTCACACACATACACACACCCACACATCCTCACACACCCTCACACACATACACATACCCTCACAGCCTGGGCAGGGCTTCCACGGAGCACAGGGAGAGAGGAGAACCAGTGGGAAGGGGCCGAGGTGGGAGCATCCCAGCTGAGGGGTTTGGTTCACAGGCTAGCTCGGCACCCAGGGCGCCGTCCCAGTCCCAGCAGGACAGCAAAGCTGAGACGCCCCCTCCCACCTGTGCAGCACCTGTCCCACGTGTTCCTTTCTCCCCTAGACACCCACCTGCAGGGGTGGGGTGGAGGGACCCTAACACCCTGAGAGCTAACCCTGCACTCCCAGTTTTAAGGCCACAACAAGCCTCAGCCAGCCTGACCCAGAGGGGAGACTGCCCTGGGGAGATAGATGCTGGATCCAGCCAGCCTGTTCTCCCCTGGGCTGGGTCTTCATGGGCCACTTCACACTCTTCACACCCTCACACACATACACACACCCACACATCCTCACACACCCTCACACACATACACATACCCTCACACACATACACACAGCAACACACTGCCACACACATACACACACTCTTCACACCCTCACACACATACACACACCCACACATCCTCACACACCCTCACACACATACACATCCTCACACACATACACACACCCACACATCCTCACACACACCCTCACACACATACACATACCCTCACACACATACACACACACCCACACATCCTCACACACACCCTCACACACATACACATACCCTCACACACATACACACACACCCACACATCCTCACACACACACTCACACACATACACATACCCTCACACACAAACACACATCCTCACACACACCCTTACACAAACACACCCACACACACCCTTACACAAACATATCCTCTCTCTCTCTCACACACACACACACACACACACACACACACCCTCGCACACACCCTCACACCACACACTTACACAAACACACCCACACATACATATCCTCTCTCTTTCTCTCTCTCACACATACACATACACACATCCTCACACACACCCTCATACAAACATACCCACACCACACATATCCTCTCTCTCTCTCTCACACACACACACACACACACACACACCCTCAGATACACACATAACACTGATATAACAGAGAGGAGATGCTTACCCTGCCTTTGGAAATGGGAAGGGCCCCCTTAAACCCGGAACCTCAACTAGTGTCACCCACCTGTTCCTGGAGACAGACAGGGGAATACCCGCCCCCTGACCTGTCCAGGGAGAAAACCCCGGGCTTGCCCCTGCTCCCCAGGCCCTCCTGGCCCTGAGGGAAGTCAACTGGATGACGACCCAGGACACACGGACCTTCACCCCAGGCCGGGCTTGTGAGAAGGCAGAGGGGGGAGGGGAAGCAGTCCCTTCAGTCTGAACCTGGGCGGGCTGCAGCTGAGCCGGTGTGGGAGAGGAGGCGGCCTCCAGGTGGCACCAGGCCTGAGCCAGGCGGGAGGGAAGGGGCCTGGGTGAGAGGCCAGGATTTGGGACAGGGGGATGGTACCTCCCCCAGGGCAAGGCCAGACACCAGACAGGACAGTGTGACCGAGCCCCTCACGCTCCCTGGCAGTGGGCTGACTTACCCGGGGCTGCAGCACGGCCTTCCTAGGCTCGCTCCACCCTCCCAGGCTCTGTGACCTGGGCCAGGCCCTTCCGCTCTGGGCTTCACCTCCTTATCTGCGCCGTGAGGAGTGGGCTCCGAGGCCCGCCCAGGCACGGACAGCCTGGGCAGGGCTTCCACGGAGCACAGGGAGAGAGGAGAACCAGTGGGAAGGGGCCGAGGTGGGAGCATCCCAGCTGACGGGTTTGGTTCACAGGCTAGCTCAACACCCAGGGCGCCGTCCCAGTCCCAGCAGGACAGCAAAGCTGAGACGCCCCCTCCCACCTGTGAAGCACCTGTCCCACGAGTTCCTTTCTCCCCTAGACACCCACCTGCAGGGGTGGGGTGGAGGGACCCTAACACCCTGAGAGCTAACCCTGCACTCCCAGTTTTAAGGCCACAACAAGCCTCAGCCAGCCTGACCCAGAGGGGAGACTGCCCTGGGGAGATAGATGCTGGATCCAGCCAGCCTGTTCTCCCCTGGGCTGGGTCTTCATGGGCCAAACACACAGATGCTGACACCCACAGGCACACACACACACACACACACACACACAACACAGGGACGCTGACCCAGGGGGCTGGCACACACACAAGCACGCCTATAAATTATCCAGAGACACATCAAGGCACTCATTCCTTGCAGACCTCCTGGCGAAACACCAATGCACAGACTGGCACACGCTGGACACTCACAGGACATCCACATCGCCACATCCCCCGCAGGCCAGCTGCACACGGACGCGCACACACCTCACTCCCTGCACGCGAGGACCAGGGACCTCCGTGTCTCACTCAGGCACACGGGTGGCCTGGGCCAGCGGCCTCCAGTCAGGGCTGCCCGGGCGTTGCCACCTCCCTCAGCAGTGCTCCCTGTCACCGCCCTGGTTGGCACTCTCTGTCCATGGCACCAGGTCCCCTCTCCCGACCAGAAACTCAGGGCCGTGTGTGTGCAGTTCAGTTCAGATGACGAGCAGGGATGTCAAGCACCTTTTCTGCATCAGACGCTATGGATGTGGAGGTGAGCATGTGACAGGTCCCCGGGGCAGGGGACAGGTGTGTCCAAGGCCATCGGAGGGGAGTAGGCCTGGGGCCAGGGGCCACGAGAGGAAGCACTGGCAGGCGGTAGGCCAGGAGCTCTGTCTTGGGTTCTCCTGAGGAGCACTCAAGCACTTCCGATGCCAGGCTGCATGCTAGTCCAGTGCAATCAGGACCCCGGGTGGACTCAGCAGCTTCCTCAGACTCCGCTGGCTCGGACCTGCTGCCAGGCCTGGAGGCTCTGTTGGTATATTCCGTCCGCTGGGCAACGCCCGCTGAGGCTTTCCGGGGCAGGCCCACCGTGCCCGCCGGAGGCTGGGATGGGGTGGGAGGGTCTGGAGGGCTCAGAGGAGAAGCTCACAGTCTAGCGGGGACCACAGACCCTGCGCAGATGGACCACTCAAGAACAATACCCGCAAGCGTGATGGAAGCGTGTTCTGGGAACCTGGAGCCACTCGTTTCGGACAGAGGCCTCGGGGGCCAGGGAGGCAGCCCGGCTGGTTGGGTATCAGGAGACCTCGCTCCAGCCCCGGCCCGTCGCCCACCAGCTGTGGGTGGTGATGGTAACAGGCCTGGCGCAGCGGAGAGACAGGCAGCCTTTGCCTCGGTTCCCGCTGCCCCTGGCGTCACTGCCTCTTCCCAGCAGCTGCCCCACCAGCACCCCAGGAGGAGCCCCGTCCACGGTGCTCACATCCCACAGGGCCGTCTGTAAGCTCCGTGTCGTTCAGAGGGTGCAAGGCAGACCCTCAGGCGATGGCGGCAGCGGGAGACGACAGAGAGGGCTAGAGCGGTCCAGGTGGCTAACACCCCACAGCGGTCCTGTCACTCTGAAGATGGGCACGCACACAGGCCCTCACAGGGGGGAGGTGCAGCCCGGCCTCACACACAGACTCATACGTGCACACATTCGTGCCCAGAAATGTACCCACAGTGCCACACAGACACACGGGCCCACACACGTGGGCACACACACACACACACCCAGAGACACGTGGCCACATGCACCCATGCGTGAAGACTCGTCCTGGAAGGGGCCTCAGGAGTGATGCTGAGGAAAGGTCCAGATCCCTTCACGCCCAACTCGGGCTCCGACCCAGGGCCCAAGGACCGGAGCCCTTTCCCGGCTGGGGCATGAGCTCAGCGCCTGGGGAACAGGATGACCAGCAACCGCCCCCCACCCCCCACCCCCGCCCCAGCCTGCCAGGCCCTCCTCCTTCACTGGCCCTGGCCAACAGCCCACAGGACGTGCGCCCAGGGGAGGAGGGCAGGGGTGGCCGCCCTCCACACTCTCTCGTCCAGGGCAACCCCTCACGCCAAGTCCAGAGAAAGGCAGGCTCCACTCCACGGCCAAGGTCAGTGTCCGACATGGCGACGCAAAATCGTGAAAGCAGGACTTCGCCCCTTTCAGAGTCTCACCCCAGTAGGGCCTGGCCTCGGAGATGCGGCTGGGGTGAGGTGAGGCCAGCCTGCTGGGCGGGGACTGAGCGCTCAGGAATCCAGATTCTTCAGGGCAGGGGTGGAGGTAGTGGGAGAGGGGCGGGCGTCAATCTTCAAACTGCCAGGCCCAAGAACCCCTTGCTGGGTCCCTTCAAACGGAGTACTGGAGGGAGGGGGGGTACGGGGGTCTGGGGGGCCTGGGGTCTCCACCTCTGGCCCTTGCCCAGGGAACAGAGCTGCAAGCAGCAGGGTCTCACCTCCCTTGTCCTCTGCACCGGACTTTGCAGAGCCCCCTCCCAGCCCCCTTTTACTGACCCCAGCCCCTCCCCCCTCCCAGGGAGTCCCAGAGTCCGGACAGGGCAGGGCTCCTGTGCCCGCTCCCTTCCTGGTAAAGCCACGGGTTGGAGCTCAGCCTGAAGTCAGAGACAGGGTGCGGGCGGACACCCCGCAGGTGCAGCCAGGACAAGGCTGTGTGGCGCCGACACCATCCGGTGAGTCCCGCCTCTGCGGTAAAGAAGGTGCTGGCTGGCAGGTCGGATAGAAACTTGTGCTTTAATATATCTCTGTGTGAGTGTGGGCGTGAGTGTGCGCGTCTGCAGGGCCTCGGCGGGGCCTCTGTCCTTGTTCTCTGCTCATCCCCACAGCCGGCGAAGGCCCCTCCCTGTGGGCCGCCCCTGCCCGGGCACCCCGGCTGGTAGAGGTCAGTCTTTGGTACGATGCAGACACTTTGGTGTGCCAGGGGCGAGGTGGGGGGCCACGCAGCTCTCATCATCTCTGCAGCGCCAAGAGGAAGATGGCCACAGGCCCCCAGAGCTGTGGGCGGGGCTGGTGGGGCACTCCACTGCCCGGCATCACCACCACTGTGACAGGAGAGAGGGAGACAGCGGGCACCCGTCAGTCCGGAGGGCCAGGGACTAGCAGGCGGGCGGGCGGGCAGGCGGCTGGGGGAGGGCCCGTTCCTTTGCCCCCCTCTCTGGAGACCCAAAGCAGACACTGCCCTCCATGCACAGACACACATCAGCACGAACTTGAGGTGTGTGGGGTGGGAGTTAACTCAGCCCGAGGGGGTCCGGATCCTGGCTCTATGGCTAAGGCACGGAAGTTCACTGGACCTCGGTGGGCCTCAGTTTTCTCATCTGTAAAATGAGTCTAACAGGAAGAGCCACCCCAGAGGACTGTTTTTTGAGAACTGAGTGAGCTCACGCACATACAGGTTTGGGTATCTTGCCTGGTACATAGTAATTGCTCAGTAAACCTGAGCTGCACTGATGGCAAACATCTGGCCCCCTGGGGAGCCCACGTTCACATCTGGACCCTCGCTCACGGAGATATAGGAAGACAGAAGTACAGGAGGCACTGTGGTTGGTACGAAGACAGCCAAGCACTCACAGGAGGGCAGCGTCTGGTCTAACGGTCCCACACACCCCACAGCCTGAGCTGGGTGTAGCCTGAGTGTGCACCTCATCACTGACGCACACAGCTGTCCCCCAGCCACTGCGAACCCCCCATTCAGACACAGAGACTCTCCTCCCCCTGACACAGGTACCCACCCCCAAAGCCTCCCCCCCCCCCCCCCGCCTCAGTCTTCACCTTTATTGGGATCTATCTGCTTCCGGGGACACTCTCCCTTCTTCAGCGTCACATCGTCTATGGCGATATCTCCCAGGTAGCCGGAGCCTCGAATCCCCTCAAAAATAATCTGGGGTGGGGTCAGAGGGCAGGGAGCAGAGGTCAGGGAGGTTCTGCAAGACAGACTGCCGCCGCCCCTCCCTCACGGCCCAGGAGCCGCTGTCCCCACACCCGGCTGCTTTCCCCGTCGGCTCCCAGGACTCCCGGGAGCAGCCCGGCCCTTCCTTCCGAAGGGATTCCGGCCCAGAGCACCGTCCAGGGGCTGGGAGCGCCTGGGAGGGGCCTGGGGCCGCAGACTCACCTGGAAGGGCCCGCTGGGGTTGATGGGCACGTGGGCCTGCTGCCACACGTTGCCCTTATTGCCACTGAGGGACCACGCGTGCGTGTCCAGGGCCCCTTTGTTCCGAGACCGGACCAGGAGGTTGAGGGAGCCTGTGGTGGGTGTGAAGAGGGGGGCCAGTGAGGTCTGGACAAGGGCACCCTCCGCCCACACCACAGGGCACAGCACAGCCCCCGTTGGACGGGCCTTTCTCCCACCACACACTGACTGCTTCAATGTCCCATTCTCCCGGGCGCCGGGTGGTGGGACTAACACAGGAAAGAGTGCAGTTCATCAGGACAACCTGCAAATGTTCTTTCATTTCTCCCCTTCCTTCCCGATCAGCTAATTCCCCACCCCGACACACACACACACACACACACACTCCTTCCCGATCAGCTAATTCCCCACCCCGACACACACACACACACACACACACACACTCCTTCCCGATCAGCTAATTCCCCACCCCGACATACACACACACACACACACACACACACACACACACACACCTTCCCGATCAGCTAATTCCCCACCCCGACACACACACACACACACACACACACACACTCCTTCCCGATCAGCTAATTCCCCACCCCGACACACACACACACACACACACACACACACACACACACACCACCCTCCACTCTCCGCCCTCCGCCCTCTCGACAGAGAACTGTCCCAGGGTGATGGCCCATGCCTGCACTCACAGCCGGATTCCAAAACACTCAACGCATACCCATGATACATGGGATGATTTCTGGAGGTACAGCAACAAACTACAATTTTAATACTTTTATATATGTTTTAAGAGGTGAATAAAGCTAGCCCTTCGAATCCACGATTTCTAATAGTAATCATGCTAAGAAAAAGGGAATGACTTGGTTTAAAGAGAAACTAATATACTAGTACCAGAGGTCTGGTGCACGAAATTTGTGTGTGTGTGTGGGGGGGGGAGAGGGGGCGCGGCACTCAGCCCAGCCTGCACTCTCTCCAATTCCAGACTCCTTGGGGGAGGTCTGACTGTTGGTTTAGGCCCGATCCCTAAACTGGCAGTCAGACATCCCTCTCACAATCCTGGACCTCTGGATCCTAATCACTCACCTGCCTGCCTGCCTGGTCATCCCTAACTGCCCCCCACGGCCAGTCAGGTCACCCCCAACTACCCCCTCCCTGACTGCCTGGTTCCCCCAACTGCTGCCCACTGGCCTAATCGCCCCTAACTGCTCCCCCTCCCCACCCCCCCCCTCCCCTCGGCTGCCACCAGCCTGGTCGCCTCTTACTGCCCCTCTCACCCCCGCTGGTCTGGTCGCCCCCAACTACCCCCTTCTATTGGCCTGATTGCCCCCACACAGCCTGCTGTTCAGTCGTTTGGTCGTCCCTCACTAACCTCCCTGCCAGCCTGGTCATACGCAGCCATCTTGTGAGAGCATGAAGGTTAATTTGCATATTACCTCTTAATTATGTAGGATATGCCACATAGCTGTGGTGAAGAGTGGAAGTAAAGTTTTGGAGGCACTAGAATGTGGGTACTGAGTCCATCTGCCCACAGCCACAGGCCTGGAGCTCCGAGGTGCTGGGGGACAGGGGAGGAGGGCCATGGCTCGGCTAAGAGCATGCAGGCCATGTGGCGCCCTTCCCTGGCTCTCCCAGCCTACCCTGAGCCCCCAGTGACATAAAAGACCTGGCTGAGAGGGAAGAGGAATGGACGTGGGTGGTGCCTGGTGGCTGGCATTTCCACAGAGCTGCCCACAGACAAAGCCACACCATCTGTGACACCAGATAGAGGGACCTCCTGTCGGGGAAAGCCACCACATGTCACCTGCTGGGATGAAAGGAGCCCTGGAAACACAAGGTCTGGGACAGCTGGCGCCTAGAGCTGCCAGGTAGGGTGGGAGGGGAGGGCAGAGGAGGGACCAGCAGATGCAGGCCTGGACAGGGGACCCTCACCAGCAGATGGGGCCATGACAGGGCTGCCACCAGTGCAGGAAGTGCCACACTGACTTCAGCAGGCTCATGCCCCAGTGCCTTCCGGGCTCCCCTGCAGCCCCGAAGGGACCTCTTTCTCTCCCCCTTCCTGGAGATCTACCCCCGTTTCCATCCCACTTGGGGTCCAGCCTCATTCATACCTTTTCTTCCTCCTGCTCCACACTGTCCCAAGGGCACTCATAGGGGAACCCCACTTTTCACTGTTCAAACAAAAATGGAATTTCTGCCCCCCATCAGCTCCAAGGTCTCCTGCTTAGGGGCTTCCTGGTGGAATTCACAGGTGTCGGCCAGAGCCCGCGACCTTCAAATCCCTTAAGGGCGGGCCTGCTCCCTGCGCTCTCCCCCGTGTTCCTCAGCCACGTGGACCTGCGTGCCGGAGCCTGGACCTGCTCCAGCTTCTCAGCCCCTGCTGCTCCCACTGCAGAGATGCCCTTCCCTGCCACCTTCCCCTAGCAGCGAGGCCAGCCAAATCCTTCCTGTGCTTCAGGGTTTCTCTGAACGGTCACCTCCTCCCAGAAGTCTTCCTAGGTGTTAGCCGGGAGTTCTCTACGCTTACCGGGAGCTCTGAGGCCTTAAGCTGCAGCTCCCAGGCCCGGCCCGCTCTCTGCGCGGGGGTGTGGCAGTGACTGGGGTTCCCATCTTCCTTCCCTGTGACTCCGTGAGGGGAAGTCCGCATCCCATTGCTACTGGATCTCAAGAATTAAATGTGAGAATTTTCCCCAACTGTCATCAGGACTTCCATGGGATCTCAGGATTCGAAGTGACCTCGGGCCTATCATTCATTCAACTAATCGAGCACCACGATGTTCCAGGCCCCGTTCCAGGCCCCAGAGGTACGCCCGTGGACAAGACAAGGACCCTGCGGTGGGTGCTCTCTTAGTAGCAAGCGTTGGAAAGAAAATAACTCAGGGCGGGAATGCAGACCTGGCAGAGGGACCTCTCTGAGGAGACCTGCATGAGGGGACCGGGAGAAGGTTCCAGGCCAGGGGGGGCATCATAAGCAAAGGCTTCTAAGGCAGGGACCTGCCTTGAATATTTAAAGAAACAAGGAGACCCCTGTGCTCAGCCCACGTGGTCGCCAGAGGAAGAGCAGGAGAAAACGAGGCCAGAGAAGCAGCTATGGGAGGCCTGGGGGAGGGGAAGGGGGAGGGGACAGAGCCGGGGAGCCGCATGGCATGGACAGGGGTCCCCTCCACAGCACCCCTGCGGACAGTCTGCCCGTCCAGGGACAGGGCGCCCCCTCTTGCTGGGCACATCTGAGGCACACAGGGTCTTTTTTTTTTTTTTAATATATATTTTATTTTTTTTACAGAGAGGAAGGGAGAGGGATAGAGAGCCAGAAACGTCAATGAGAGAGAAACATCGACCAGCTGCCTCCTGCATACCCCCTACCAGGGATGTGCCCACAATCAATGTACATGCTCTTGACCGGAATCGAACCGGGGACCCTTCAGTCCGCAGACTGACGCTCTACCACTGAGCCAAACAGTTTTCGGCCATACAGGATCTTTCCAGCTAGAATCAAATCTGCCCCCGGAGGTTTCCTCTGACAGTTTGTCACTCCTCCTGGGGAACACGAACAAGTTCTGGAGCCCAGACTGCTGTCCACACCTGGCATCCCAGCTCCCAAGGCCTGATTTTCCGGGCCCTACTGCACCCAGCATGCTGCTCCTCTTGGCAGTGGGTCCCAGGGCCCCTCCTGAGCTGGGGATAAAATGGACATCTCTCTGGGTTTGCCTGTGATGTGAGACTTTCATTATAAAACCGGGAAAGACTTGGGCAAAGCAAAATTGGTTTCATTGGTTACTCCAGCTGGGAAGCAAATGGAAACAAGAGGGCTGGGCAGAGCAGGCAGCCCTGGTCAGCGCCTCCCCCCCCCCCCCCACTTCACCCCCTGCCACCTACCACAGAGAAGGCAGTCCTGGTCAGCACCCCTCCTCCCAATCTACCCCAAAGGAGGGTTCCCACAAAGCCCAGAGCCCGCCATGGGCAAACTGGTCTGTGCGGATGGTCTGGGGCCCAGGGTACAAGAGCCCTCCACCCCGCCCCATTCCAGTTCGCCAGGTCAGCTTGGCCCGTCATGCGGCTGTGGAGACCTCTCCGTAGTGAGCCTTTAGGCCTGCACTTGCTTAAAGTCTCTCCTCTGTGGGCAGCCTTGGAAAACAAAGTGCCCCGTGGCCTGGCCAGGCAGGGCCCCTGCGACACACAGTTCAGAGGGAAGACAAGGCTCGGAACAGTGTGAAACTGGGGGGAGGGGCAATAAATGTGTACCGCTCCTGTATCGTACAGTATTCCTGCAGATTTCCCCAAACATCCAGTACGATTGCCTCTGGGGTGGCTTCCGGGGGCAGGAGGACTGGGATGCAGGGACTCTCATCATGCACCTTTTGTGCCTTCTGACGCACAGAGAATATGTTACCTTCCCCATAAGTAAGGAAACAAGCAAACACATAAAATTCTTTAAATTGTCCATACCGCACAGAGCCCCTCCCAGCCCTGGGTCTGGGGCCTGAGGGAGTCAGACGGGTGTGGGGTGCCGAGTGGATGCCCAGACTGCTGTCCACACCTGGCATCCCAGCTCCCAAGGCCTGATTTTCCGGGCCCTACTGCACCCAGCATGCTGCTCCTCTTGGCAGTGGGTCCCAGGGCCCCTCGCCGGGTACCTCTCTTGGCAGTGGGTCCCAGGGCCCCTCGCCGGGCACCTCCCTCCCCAGGCGGCTGGGAGGGGTGATGAGACCACAGATGCCAAGCACCCAGGATGTCCCGTGGCACCTGGCAGGCACTCTGTACAAGCGACCTCTTAGCTGTTTCCTCCACCCCCTGGTGACCCCACCCCATCCTGCTGGAGCCATTTCCCCCCAGACTCAGGCAGCCTGAGCACCTCAAAACCCCACACGAGCTGGCTCTGGACCCCCATTTGTGCAGATTCTGCTCACAACCCTCCAAGGATCTGGGATTCATCCACGTGGAAAAGTCCAGGCCCCAAGTGGCAGTTCCTAGCCCCCTGGGGACCCCCTCTCTGCCCCAGCCCCAACACGCAGGGCAGACTCCTGGCTCCTGACTCACCGATGTGCTTCCCGTACATGTGGTAGAAGAAGGAGACGCAGTAGAACTTGGCGCTGGCGTTGTACAGGGGACTCACCAGCCGCGCCCGGTCCCCCAGCTCCCGGGGCCTCGAAGTCTCGATGAACATGTAGTAGCCTGTGGGGGAGGGGAGACGCCCACAGCCTCCTCACCAGGCCTCTCACCACCCGACTCCTTCTCTCCCATGGTCTCAGCTACGAGCCCCTTTCCCAGACCGCCCGTCCCCCAGCCTCTCACACGGGGGTGTAGGCCAGTCCTTAGCCTTTCTGAAGCTCTTCTTCCTGATCCTTCGTAAGGACAGGCTGAGTGTCCCTCAGATCAGGGCCCCCTCAGGACAGGCTGTGTCCCCCTCAGACCAGAATGCCCTGAGGACAGGCCTGTGTCTCCCTCAGACGGGATCCCCTCAGAAGAGAGTGTGTCTGCCCTCAGACCGAGGCCCCCTCAGGACAGGGCTGTGTCCCCTCAGACTAGGATTCCCTGAGGACAGGCCTGTGTCTCCCTCAGACGGGGGCTCCCTGAGGACAGGGGTGTGTCCCCTCAGACTCCCCTCAGACTAGGATTCCCTGAGGACAGGGCAGTGTCCCCTCAGACTGGGGCTCCCTGAGGACAGGCCGTGTCCCCTCAGACTGGGGCTCCCTGAGGACAGGCCGTGTCCCCTCAGTCTGGGGCTCCCTGAGGACAGGGCTGTGTCCCCCTTAGACGGGGTCCCCTCAGAAGAGAGTGTGTCTGCCCTCAGACTGGGGCTCCCTGAGGACAGAGCTGTGTCCTCTCAAACTGGGGCTCCCTGAGGACAGGCCGTGTCCCCTCAGACTGGGGCTCCCTGAGGACAAGGCTGTGTCCCCTCAGACTGGGGCTCCCTGAGGACAGGGCTGTGTCCCCTCAGACTGGGGCTCCCTGAGGACAGGGCTGTGTCCCCTCAGACTGGGGCTCCCTGAGGACAGGGCTGTGTCCCCTCAGACTGGGGCTCCCTGAGGACAGGGCTGTGTCCCCTCAGACTGGGGCTCCCTGAGGATAGGGCTGTGTCCCCTCAGACTGGGGCTCCCTGAGGACAGGGCTGTGTCCCCTCAGACTGGGGCTCCCTGAGGACAGGGCTGTGTCCCCTCAGACTGGGGCTCCCTGAGGACAGGGCTGTGTCCCCTCAGACTGGGGCTCCCTGAGGACAGGGCTGTGTCCCCTCAGACTGGGGCTCCCTGAGGACAGGGCCATGTCCCCCTCAGACTGGGGCTCCCTGAGGACAGGGCTGTGTCCCCTCAGACTGGGGCTCCCTGAGGACAGGGCTGTGTCCCCTCAGACTGGGGCTCCCTGAGGACAGGGCTGTGTCCCCTCAGACTGGGGCTCCCTGAGGACAGGGCCTTGTCCCCTCAGACTGGGGCTCCCTGAGGACAGGGCTGTGTCCCCTCAGACTGGGGCTCCCTGAGGACAGGGCCTTGTCCCCTCAGACTGGGGCTCCCTGAGGGCAGAGCTGGGTCTCCCCCATTAGACTGGGCTCCCAGAGTCTAGACCCCTCACGCAGTCCTCATTCCTAGCAGCAGGCCATGGCCTCACCCTCAGGGGTGCCGCTGACGTCAGTGGGGGGACCGGTGTTGGGAGAGCGCTTGGGGTTCTGGGTTAGGGCGTTCTGCCGGGTCCAGTCAAAGTTGTCTGTCAGGTCCTGGGTGTAGCCACAGATCTTCTCATCCTCAAAGTGGCAGGTGTTGTCTGCACGGGGCAGGGAGAGGGGGCAAGACACAGAGGGTCGGCCTCCTGGGTCCTCTGCTCCCGCTCTGCCTCCCTGCCAACAAGGCCCTGGCTAACTGCCCAGACCAGGACTCCTTAACCTTCTGTGCCACCCGGACCCTCCTGGCGGCCAGTAAGTCCAAGGACCCCATCTCGGAGTGACAATCTTAGATGCACGAAATGAATAAAAAGGGTTACACAGAAAGTCAGTTATACCGACAGTGTTAACATGTTTCTAAACAAATTTGTGTTACAGTAAGTGCACTTTCTCACTGTCTAATTAAGTCAGGAGACCCGGTGTTCGGTCTAATAACGGCCGCGGTTTTGAAAGGCTCCTGGGCGGAACTGATACGGAGAGAGGCTGCAACAACTTGAGGTGACTGATGTGCAGACCTCAGACTTGTGGGGACAGTCCCAGGTAGGGGCCACACTACCGAGCGTGGCTGCCTGCATTCACCACCGGAGGGGGTGTGCCATGCCTGCTAGAAGCTGGGGAAATGAAGGAGTGTGTGCCCTTCCAGGCCCCCTACATTCCGTACACAGATCCTGTGGGGTCTCGGGTTAAGGACACCTGCCCCAGAGAACAGGGGACAAGGGTTAGCCTGGACTTTCTTTTGGGGACAGTGAGGAGGAAAGGTCCTGAGTTAGAGATGTTCCCCGACTTCACCCGTATCCCCCTCCTTGAAGGCCCAGGATAAATCCTGGGTGCAAACCCTCCAAGCCCAGCCCTGCTCCCTTCTGCTTCTCCTTCAGCCTCTCGCCTCCACCCCATTTTCTCTCGGAGTACTTCTCCGGGCCCTTCCTCCCACCGGGGTGCTTTGGTGTCCCTCGGAGAAGGAAAAGTGGGTGGGAGTGTCTCACCTGACAGGCTGGGGGAGTTGATAGCTGAGAAAGCAAGCAAGACAGACAGGTCAGAACCGAGTGGGGCTGTGCAGAGGGGCCCGAGCTTCGGACCGGGGGCAGGGTCCCCGGGGCCAGGACTGGGCGCCAGAGTCAGGCAGGACACAGCACGGTGGTGAGGCCCACGCTCAGGGGCCGTGTGGGAAGGGGGGCGGGGACCCCCTGGACACCAGAGGAAGGACACCGCCCTTCCCACCCCCACCAGCACCTACGCTCTGTGTAGTGGATGATGCGGGAGGCCATGTCGCCGGCCCCATAGGTGGTGTAGGGCGTGAGGCGGACCTCGTAGCTGTGGGGCACGCGGAGGTCGGTCAGCATGTACTCCAGCAGCTGCCCCTTCTCCACGCGCCGCACGGGGATGGCCTTCACCATGGCGCTGTGCTGGTTCAGCTGTGGACACACGAGTTCCCACGCTAGGAAGGCCCTGCCCGCCCCCAGAGCACCCACCCGGCCCGGGGCCCTGGTGTGACTTTGGGGTCGGGGTCGAGGAGTAGAAAGAGCAAAGCGCTAGGAAGCGGGGCCCTCAGATCCCTCATCTGGGGAACAGAGCAATCACCCCTCAAGCCCACCTCCCAGGGCCGTCTTAGTAACAAATAACAGCAACACCTACTGAACACTTGAACGTGTGCGAGGCACTCCATGCCTTGCGATGATCAACGTACCTAATCGTCAAAGTAATGATCCTATGAGGTAGGATATTGTAATTTTACCTGAAGCTTCTGATGTAAGAATAAATTCTGAGTCTCAGGAGCAGAGCTGGCTCTGCCCCCTCCCCCTCCATGGACCCCTGCCCAGACCTCGGGGCTGTGCCCAGAGCGTGGGTGCAGAGGGGTCAGTCCCTAGCACCTCGAGCTCCCGCTACTGTGTCCGGAGCACTTCCTCCCTGGCACTGAAGACCTGTCTGTACGAAGGGTCAGTGTGGCCCAGCCCCATCGCCACCCCCTCTCCTGGGCTCCATGAGCACCCCGGGGTCAGCTGACCCGGGGGCCCCCACCCCCGGCCCACCTGGCGGACACTGAGTCTGTAGTTGAGCACGGGGTCCACGGCCTCAGGCTCCCTCTGGGTCCACTGCAGCACGTAGGAGTAGTTCTTGGACAGCTTGTGGCTGCGGGTGGGGTTGGGGGTGTCGAAGTAAAACTCCGGGCTGTAGGCTTTGGCTAAGAGGGCGGGGAGGGGGGCACGGGGCCATGGAGGGTGGGGAATGGGGAGAGACAAAGAGAGGAGGCATGGGAGGGGGAGAGAGGACAGGGTGGGACAGAGAGGTGAGATGGGGAGACAAAGAGAATATTGTGAGGAGAGGAGAGAAGGGAAAAGAGGGGTTTGGGGAGGATGAGGGTGGGTGGGGGAAGGTGGGAGGTGGAGAAAAGGGAGATTGAAAACGGTGAGAATGCAGTGGCAAGGTCATGGTAAAGACAGAGCGGCGATATTAGAGAAGACACGGGGGAGAGGATTGGGGGGAAGATGGCAAGAGAAGGGCCAAGGCATTGAGGTAGAAGGAAGAGGAGGAGAGAGATGGCGGGGAGACAGGGAAAGTGTGGGAGAACAGGGGAGAGGGGAGGAGGTGGGAAATGTCACAGGGGCCTCTGGCTGGGGGGCTGGGGAGGTGGCCGTGTTAGCCCCCTGCCGCTGAGTGAGGGGATCCAGACAAGAGCTAAAGGGGCACCCAGCCAGTCTGGGCTGCTGGGAGAGCTGGGCGTAGGTGGAAGAGGGACAGACATCCTGGGGACGGGGAACCAGTTTTCCCCAGCGGCGGGGAGAAGGGGCTGAGAGGGGTTTCCGGGCTCCCGGGGGCCTGGAACGCCGGGCTGGCCTCGCACCACCCACGAGGTTCTAGAGACACCGCTGAGGGGCGACTTCTCCCCCCTTAAGCTGCAGCTCAGGCCCCCACTTTGGGCCTGCGGTCAGGAAAAGAGTAGGTTCCCCACGCCCAGCCCCACCCCGCCTCTGGGAACAAGGACGAAGAAGGGGGGCTTGAACGGAGACGCCAGAGCTGTGCGGGGGCCCAGGGCCTGATGCGGGGTCTAAACCCGTGGTGGGCGGGGCTGGAGGTACCCTCTTGGGAAACAATTGGAAAGGGGAGCGGAGACTGGACAAGGCGGGAAGGGGTGTGGCCTATGCCTTGTGTGGGCGGAGCCTAGTGGCGGTGTGGGCGTGGCCAAGGAGCTCTCAGAAAGAGGCGGGGCCTGAGAGGGCGGGACTGTCAGGGTCCAGGGCCGGAACTGAATGAAACAGGCGGGGCTCCCAATAGGCATGGGCGGGCCCTGAAAGGGGACGCCCCGACCAAGAGTGGGCGTGAGTTGGGGGCCGGCTGCAAGAGGAGGTGCTGCGGGATTCGGGGAGATGGGCGGGGCGGAGGCCGGGCGTGGGCGGGTCCCGGAAGGCGGGGCCCAGATGCGGTGCAGGGAGGCGGGGGCGCGGCGGGGCCGGCCGGGTGGGCTGGGCGGGGTCGGGCGGGACCTGCGGGCGCTCACCGGAGACCTGGAAGAGACAGACGGCCGAGCCCACGTCGTTGGAGACGCTGCACTCGTAGCTGCCGCTGCTGTCGCGGGTGACGGCGTCGAGGCGCAGCTCCGAGTGGTCGGAGGGCTCCCCGGCGCCGGGGGCGGCGGGCGGCGGCGGCAGCAGCTGCCCCTTGAAGCGCCACACGGCCGAGGCGATGCGCTGGGGGCTGCCGCGGAGGAGCGAGCAGCGCAGGAGCACCGGCCGGCCCAGCGCCTGGCGCACGTCCTGGGAGCCGGGCTCCACCTCCGGGGGGACTGGGGGCGGAGCGGGGCGGTCAGCGCGGCCGAGGGGGGCTGAGGGCGACCCTGGGCGAGGCGATGCACTCGCCCCTCCTCCCTCCCGTGCCCCCAGCCTGGAAGAACTCGGGCGGACACGCGTTCGCTACACACTTTCTGCAATAACCACGCGCTCATCTCCCGGACCTGCAGAGGCCCACGCCCTCTGGCCGTGCCTTCCAGCCACGGGTCCCACTAAGGTTCTGTTCATGCCTCACATGGCCCCGCACCCCCAGGGCGTGAGAAGCAGCCTAAGGCCGGGATTTGGAATCTGGTCCCTGGAGCCCGTGACCTGGTTCACATCCCAGCCCGCCCCGCCCCTCATGAGCTGTGACCTCTGCATCACTCGTTTCCCTATTTGTAAAACTGTGTCCAGGTGCGGAAGGCTTAGGGGTAACAGAGTAGGTGGGGGCGTTGGGGGACTGGGCGGTGAAGGGGGGAAGAGGGGACAGGCCTGGCGGGGACCGGAGGGGCAGCTCGGGAGGTGCCCGCGGGGACCGGGGGACTCACACTGCACGTTCAGCTGCACCTGGGCCTCGCGGGGGCGCACGTTGAAGCCGTTGTAGCGAGCCGTCTGGCAGCGGTAGGTCCCGCTCATGTCGCGGCTCACGCGCTCCAGCCGCAGCTTCCCGTCCGCGGTCTCCTCCACCGGCAGCCCCGAGGGCAGCAGCGCCGCCTCCTTGTCCACGCGGGACCAGAGCACGGGCGGCCGCGGCTTGCCCCGCACCTCGCACTGCAGCTCGGCGGGCGAGCCCTCGCGCACGGTCACCACGGCCCTGCCTTTGGGCACGCTGATGGTGGGGGGCACTGGAGGGTGGAGGAGAGGGTGAGAGGTAGGTCCCCCCCAACTGGCCTCCCACTGGGGCTTCTGCTTCCCTCTCCCAGGGGTCCCCCAAATCTGTTATTCCCCAGCCATCCTCACCTCCACAAATCCTCTCACCTCCCGGCTCTCTCCCAACTCAGAAAAAGAGCTAATCGTCCCGGCCTATTCCTCCTTTTCCCTTACCCCACCATCACTTCGTTTTGGGGAGTCCACCTTTTAAACAATCCCAGTAAATTCTCCTCCCTCAATCTCCTCTCTCCTGCCCGCTGGTCCTGCACTAGTTAAAGCTGCCACCTTCTTTCTGGGGTGTTACCACCGATGGCTAGTCTGTATCCCCAACATCTGGGCTTTAGCAGGACAAGGGCCAGAATAAACACTCTTATCTCCCAGCCTGCCTGTGGCTGCCCTGAGACTGAATTCCGGCCAGCCGGATTTGACGGAAAGCAAATGTCTCCAAGAAGGGGAAGTCCCGCCACACTCCTCCCCCTGCCTGCAGGCTGGAATACAGGCCGGTGGCTGCAGCTGGCGCTGCCCCCGTGGGGGAGGCCGCGGGAGTGCAGGGGGGGTCGGGGGGGCGGGGACAGGGTGCAGCAGAGCTGCTATTCCAGCCTGGACTGCTCACTTCTGCTTGAAGAAGGAATACACAGCTAACTTGTTCGAGCCACTTTTATTAAGTTTTCCTGTTACTCACAGCCAAACCTAATCCAACACAGCATAATGCCCAAATGGAGGGGCTTTTAAAGAGTTCCATGGGTCCCATCCCGCATCATATCAAACGAATTAAAATGTCCTACATTAAATATAAATTGCAAATAACTCTACAAGGCATGCTGAGATCCAGTTATCTAGTTAGCATAATTTATACTCTATAAACATTTATACATTTACTGGCTTTAATTTTGCAGCTTTCTCTTTGTATGTTGGCGCCAATTAATTTCTATTTCCAGGACTACACCTTCCACGGGCCCTTAGAAAGCTCCCAGGCCTCGCCCTGGCTGGGTGGCTCTGCTGGTTGAAGGATTGTCCCAAAAGGTCACATTCAATTCCGTGTGAGGGCACATACCCAGGTTTCTGGTTCAATCCCCTATAGGGGTACATATGGGAGACAACCAATCAATGTTTCTCTCCCTCTCCCTCCTCTCTCTAAAATCAGCAAAAAAAACAAACAAAACAAAAAACTTAGTCTCGGGTGAGGATTAAAAACAAAACAAAAAAACAACTTCCATGCCTTAATTAGGCTTTTGAACCAAATGGAGGAAATGGCCCTGTGAGCCATTGATTTCCCGTTTATAAAACATCCCAGCTCCCAACTCTCCCTCACCCCACACACTAAGGGCCTGGGAGGCTGCACTGCCCTCAGGTTAAAGCTCAAACTCCTGTGCTCTGGCCTCTGCCACCCCAGCCTCATCCTTCCTCTCCTGTTCTGTGTCCCAGCTGCGGGACCCACTTATAAGGAATACACTCCCTGACAAGCCAAGTCTCATACACCACGGGGGTTCCCCATCCCTCTTCTCCATCCCTAGACTCTCCCCCTCCTCCTCACGCCGCGCCCCCCCCCCCCAAATGCTCACAGGGAGCATGGCTCCTCCCTGGCATGCCCTGGCCGCCTGGGACTCCTTCTCCCATGCCCCCAGGATGCTCTGCAGACCCTACCTTTAGCCCCTTTCTAAGGTTTGCCTTCCAATTCCTGTGTTACCCCAACAAATGTCTCTCCCAGCTAGGCAGCGGGCTCTGAGACGGGCTGTGGCGTTCGTGTCTGGATCCCCAGCTCCTCACCCAGGGCTGGCACACAATGATTGGCGAAATAAATCTGTGGACTCTGTGGCCTGGCTCATTCATAAAGCCCCGCTCCGGAAGCCTTTCCTGACCCCTCTCCCTGTGCACATGTCCAGGTGGAAGGGCCACCCAGGCTGTCTCACCCAGTGTCTCATGAAGGAGAAACAGAGACCCAGAGAGCTCAAGAGGCTTAGCCGAAGCCAGCCAGCTCCTCGGCGCAATGCGCCGGGGACAAATGAGATTCCAGAAACCCTCTCCAAAGCCACCCCCTCCTAACGCCTGTCCTCAAAGTGCAGGCTCTTAACCACCACACTCCTCAGGGCTGGCAGAGTCAGGCTCTGAAGGCGGATTGTCTGGCTTCAAACCTCAGCTCCACCATATACTACTGTGTCACTTTATGTTGCCTTAGGTAAGTTTAATTTTTAGTCCTCATCCGAGAGGATACGTTTAAAGAAAAGAAGGGAGAGAGAGAAACATCGATGTGAGAGAGACACACCCATCGGTTACCTCCCATGTATGCACTGACCAGGGATCAAACCAGCAACCTACGTATGTGCCCTGACCAGGAATTGAATCTTTAACCCTTTGGTGTATAGGACAGCACTCCAAACAACTGAGCCACCGGCCGGGACTTCTTCAGGGAAGTTTTTTAAACCCTCTGAGCCTGTTTCTTCACCTCTAAAAACTGACGTTAAACTCTCTGTCTCATAAGGTAAATCATGAAGGCGAGTAAGATAAACATAAAACCATCAGGACACATAGTAAGCACTCCGTAAGCGTTAGCCACTATTATTTCATTATTGTTATTTCCTGTTACTGGAGCAGAGACACAGAGCCCCTGCATAATCTGGCCGCACTGGCCCCTCCACTCATTCACTCCCGCCCCCAGCCACACTCTCCCTGCTTTAGGTCTCCAGACAGCCCCGCCCCGCCCTGCCTCAGAGCGCTGTTTGCTGATGCCTTGGCCTGCCTGTCTCTTCCACCCTCCCTTGCTTCCTTTGCCTAGCAAAAGCCCACCCCTCCTCAGGTCACAGACCAAAGACTTTACCATCTGAAAAAACACTTGCCTCCCTACTTAGTTCAATGAGGGCAGAGTCTGTTTTGCCCACCTCTCAACCCCAGCACCTACCACAGTGCCTGGCATATAACAGGTGCTTGTTCACTGTGTGTGGCATGAACAAATGGAATCTTTCCACTCTGCCTCCCTTTCCCAAGCTGCTGCCCCCCCTCCCCCCAATGTGGGCCTCTCCAGCTCCCTCACACCTCCGCCCACCTGTCTCGGAGGAGATGTTGACTTCCACGCTCATGTCGGGCACAGGTGCTCCCGGGAAGGAGGCCACACACAGGTAGGTGCCGTAGTCGCTGAAGTGCAGGTCAATGAGCTCTAGGCTGCTCGTGACGGCAGGCAACTCAGGGTCGTTTCGGGTCACCAGCAGCCTCTTGGACATGCGTGCCGGCTTGCCGTTCTTGAACCACTGGTAGGTCACCTTCTCCTGGGGCACTGCGTCCACGTGGCACGAGAGCTTCAGGTCCTGGCCCAGCTGTATGTTCTCGCTTTCTTTGATCACGTCCGGGGTGATCTGGAATGTGGCATTCTTCATGGCTGCAGGCGGATGGGGAGGGCAGGTTGGCTGGGGCTGGCCCAAAGCCAGGGTCAATGTCCCACTCCTTCCCAGACCCAGCGCCTCCCCTCAAAGTGGCCCTCCTGCAGGTTGAGAGAGACACCCTCCCGCCACCGCCACACGAAACCATCCTTTTGCTAGGAAATTGTCCTACTTGTTGAGATGTGTTTTTAAGAGTTTAAAAAAGCTCGCTGTAGAACAGTGGGTTTATAATCATTAGAGTCACTGTTGCTGAACACACACTTGGTGAGAGGCACTGTTCCACGCACTTTACACAGGCTGACTCATGTAAATCTTCCCCCGGTCTGTGAGGGAGGCACGTTAGTGTCCCTGCTTTCCAAGGAGGGATCCGAGGCTCAGATAGTTTAATTCAGAGCCTGTGCTCTTAACCACCACGCTACTTTATTTGTGTTCTTGTTTGAAACCCTGAATGAACAAAATACTAACTTTGTAAGGATGCAACAGCATGCAATAGGGGTTCTATCTAGACAGTGGGACTGAGGGGAGATTTTAATCTGAACATTTTACTCTTTGGGGCTATTTAACTCTTTTCAGCAAGTTATTGTGATGGTTATAATAAGAGCCATATAGAATAGTTTTACATGCAGTTACATTAAAGCTCAGAGTTTACAAAGCACAGGACCTGGCCTCCTTTAAAATCTAAATATTGTTTGATGTAATGCAAGAGTTAGACATGACTCTTACTATTGGATGCTAATTTGACAGGACACTGATACCACAGCCACTGGTACCCTTCCTTTGCTGGGTTGGGCAAAGCAAGCTGTATGTCACCCGAGGAAGTGACCATAAGGGCCTGGCCAGGAAGTCATGGTTTGATTCTCATTCAGAGCACACACCTGGGTTGTGGGTTTGATCACCAGTGTAGGGCATGCAGGAGGTAGCCGATCAATGATTCTCTCTCAGCATTGTTATTTCCCTCTCTCTCTCTATCCCTTCCTCTCTGAAATCAATACAAATATATTTTAACAAAAGAAGTGGCCATAAGTATTAGATGTAAATTGAGATCTCATCAACTCAGGTTGTAAAGGCCAAATGTAAACAGGTGGAGAAAAAGAATCTTCTGATGGGAAAAGTACCATCGAAGGGGAAAGTAGTCATCAGATAGTCACAATCTTGCTGTTTTTTTTCTTCCTCTGATTAAGTAAAAAGTAATAGAGGCTTAACTTCTTCATATGAGGAGAGTCAGAGTGTGGTCAGTGAAAGATCATCAACAAAAAGTGTTTATTTCTTCAGAAGATTCAGTCAAATTTGGCAGAAGCTATCTTTTACTTTTAAGTGCTAAAGAGCTGGTAACAGCTGTGTCTTTTTAAAAAAAAAAAAATAACCTAAAGCTACACAAGAAGAATTTAAAGTTCCCCCTTGAAGCAAAATCAAGATCACATCAAGCAGCTACTGCTAACTACTGAGGCTGAGGTTTAGTAAGGAAAGTGTTTGTACTTCTTTAGATCATACTCCAAGTTTTGTATCATTTTTACATTTAATAATTATCTTCAGACTCACTAACATGCTTTGCTAGCAAATATTTACACACGAGGTATGTGGAAATGTATTATTTTCACTATAACTCAGTGAACCATGTGGAGACCAGTGTACAAAAAGAATGTCAGGAAATTTCTCCTAAAGACTGGAAGTCCATCCTTAGCTTTTTGCAACCTGTTTCCCAATCTAAAAAAAAAGTAGGTACTCAATACTAGTCCTCCCTACCTCTCAGATTGTTGAGTTTATATTTGGAAATGTAGATTGTAATCTGTAAGTAAAAGTTTACACAAAATTTAACCCTGTTATCTGCAGGGAAATAGAAGCCTGGAACATGCCTTCTCAGCATATATCACCTACCAAGAGGAGGCAGACAGGCCCCTCTCCCACTTCATCGGTCCTTCCCGGAGGACAGGGACCCTGTCTGCCTGAGTCCCCCCCCCCCCCCCCCCCCCCGGAACCACGTACATCGCACCAGCAGGTTGACGGTCTTCTTGGCGGGGTTGCCCACATTGTTGGTGGCTGTGCAGTTGTAGTAGCCGGAGTCCAGGGCCTGCACTGAAGGGATGCTGAGGATGCCACCCTGGGCCAGGGCCCCCAGGGGCAGCGGGCCGGGCCCATGGGACCACTGCAGCTGGGGCAGGGGGTCACCGCCTGTCAGCAGACACTGCACCGTCACGTTCTCCCCAGGGTTCACCACCAGAGTTTCATTCACAGACAGCTTCAGGGCTGGTGGCGCTAAGAGGACAAGGAGGCGGGGTCTTAGGGGGCTGGGAGGCAGGGCTGGGCATGGGGATACAGGAGCTAGGAAAACCACGGGGCCGGGGAAGGACAGGGAGGAGAAAGGAAGGGGAGAAGGCGGAGAGCAGGCAGAGGGGAGCAGGGATGCACTAGTGGCGATGTACGGGGCGAGGCACTGTCTCCTGGCGGGGGAGTCGGCTCAGGCGGGCCAGGGTGGGGCGGGGAGCGCCTGTACCCGTGGTGTTGGTGAGCCGGAAAGTGATGGCCTTGTCCGGGATGCCACACACGTTGCGTACAGACACCTGGCAGGTATAGCTGGCGTAATCCTGGGGCCGAAGGTTCTTCAGCTTCAGGACCTTGGTCTCCCCCTGGGCAGCAGGGGACCACTGGAGTGAGGGGTCTGCTCGGGTCTCCCGGGTCCCTCACATTACCCAGTACCGGGGGCTAACGGAGGTTCCTATCCTTCCCCAGCTCCACACCGTTTACCCCAGGGAGCCTGAGTCGGGGGGGGGGGGGGGGGGGCGGGGGGGGGGGAGAGACACGTGTCCTCTCCAGACCTTGGGTTTCCTGGGTCTGAGACTGCCCCGGTGCACACTGGCCAGGCCCAGGCCTCCGTGTCTCCACTTTGGAAAACGGAGGGGTGAGGAGGGAGCCCTGCTCTCACAGATACGGAGCTAGCCCCACAGGCAGCCACCGCAGAAACCCTCCCTGGGGGGATTGCTTCAGCCCCATTTCCGGGGACTGTAGGGGGGCCTATGGGAAGTGGAGTCATCTCTCTGCCCCCGACTCCTGCTGTGTCTGCCCAAAGGGTTCCAACACTCTGACAGCCAGCAGCGGGAGGGGATGACTCGCCTGCCTCTAGGGGCGCCTCTCCTAACTGGCAAGGTTCCAGAAGGACTTGTTGCCCCGAAGACTCTCCTGTCCCCATCACTGTCCCCTGAGCTCTCGTCCCGATTTCGCCTGCCCCATAGCGTCTGACGTCCGGACATCCTGCTCCAGCCAGGGCAGTCTCAAGAACGGCAGTCGGCGAGGCCTCGGCCTCGGGCCCCTCCCTGGCTGGGTGCAGGAGGAAGGGCGGTGGGGGGGGGGGGGGTCCCCTGAGGCGGCCTGGCCAGCGGCGGCCATCCTGACCTGGGTGTAGAGGGGCTCGTAGATGTCCACGCCGTTGTCCTGGCTGTGGGACAGGGTGTCGGAGCCGCGCTTCCAGATGAAGCGGGCGGGCGGGTTGGAGTTGACGGTGCAGCGCAGGAACACCGTCTTCTCCTGGTAGAAGTTGCCCCGGACGTCGCTCACCGTCTGGTGCACCGTCAGCACCGGCTCGTCCAGGTCTGCAGGGACACGGCCCCAAGGGAGTCAGGACGGGGTGACCCCGAGGCGGCGGGGTTGGGCTCCTAACGGCCCTCAGCAAACGCTGAGCCACCCTCAAGGATGCTTCCGGAAAGCCAGATGCACTCCCGGCCCTGCACACTTGACCAACCTTGAGAACCAGGGGACTGGACTTGTCCAACTGTCCCTCCCTCCCTAGGACTGTCTTCACCCTCCTGTCTGTCTTCACCCTCCCAGCATGGGATGGAGGAAGCAGATGCAGCCTGGAAATGAGGAAACCCTGGTTCAAATCCCAGGCTAGCTATTAATTTGTAGCGAGGCCTGCCTAAGTCCCTCCTTGCCAGCTCCCTCAGTAGTAAATTGGACTAGATTGGCGGTTCTCTCCCCTGTTTGCACAATAGAGTCGCATGGAGATTTCCTCTTTAATACCGATGCCTGGAAGAGCTCATTAACGGTGTCAGAAATCAGAAGACTGATTGCCTCTAAGATTACTGACGGCGGGGGTATGAGGGAACGTTCCAGTTCCTGGAGGTTCTCTTGAACAGGGTGGTGTGTGCACAGGCACATACACATGTAAGAATTCATTCATTTATACATTTGTGACTAGTGCACTCTATCGCCTGTAGGTTAATCCTCAATTAAAAAAAAAAAATCCTAATGTCAGGGCTCCACCCCCAGTCAATTACATCAGAATCTCTGAGAGCAGGACCCAGACATCAACGTTTTTTTAAAAAGGATCCCCCACAGATTCTAAGGTGCAACCAGGATTGTGAACCGGAGGCACCATCATTCCACAGGCATACATCCTTCACATCCCAGCATGCTGTCCTCCTCCGCAGTCCACTGAGATAACCGTCATTACGAAGGCCACGGGCAGAGGAGGGCAGTGATGAAGTCCAGGGCGTGCCTGCCAGCCCTGCCAGCACCAATAACTCGAGAAATGACCCTCCATCCCACAGGCCGCCCCTGGGTGGCTGATGAGGGACAGAAGATAGGACCTGGGGTTCCACTGTTCACCACTCTATCGTGCTCCACTGGGGGAGTGTGAGGTGTCTTTAACGGGTAAGTTCATTGTAGACATTAAGATTGTATAAGCCAGCCAAAACCGGTTTCACTCAGTGGATAGAGCATCGGCCTGCGGACTGAAAGGTCCCAGGTTCGATTCAGGTCAAGGGCATGTACCTTGGTTGCGGGCATATCCCCTGTGGGAGGCAGCTGATCGATGTATCTCTCTCATCGATGTTTCTAACTCTCTATCCCTCTCAATTCTTCTCTGTAAAAAATCAAAAAAAAAAAAATATATATATATATATATATATATATATATATATATATATATATATATATGTAAAGATTGTATAAGCCAGGCCCTTGGGCCTGGCCCCACAGGTGCTGGTACCTGGGTCAGCCTGGATAGGCACAGAGGAGGGTGGCAAGCTGGGAGATAGCCTCCTGGTTTAAGGGAATATCCATGGAGGCAGGTAGAGACTGGGGGCTTCCCATTCAAGCAGCGAGGACTGAGGGGTGCTTGCTCCTGCCTGTGGTGGGGTAAGGACGTTTCAGAGCTGCCCTGGGACAAAAGCAAAGGCATGGGGTGTGTGGGAAGGGCGCTGGACCGTAATGAAGAGACCTATGGCCCTGAACACGTCATGAGCCCTTAGTACCTCAGTTTCTCCATCTGTGGAATGGGTATACTCCAACCCGTCTCGCCCTCTTGCAGGGATATTGCGAGATTCATAAGGGATTGCAGACGGGAAAGTGTGAGTGGCATAGCGCAGCACAAGGCGGAGGAACTGTGGGAAGGAGCAGGGATTCCCTCTCTAGCAGGGCCGAGAGGAGGTGTCTACTGTCTTCCACCCCCACTCCTCCTTCCCAGCCTGAGCCCCTGGAGGGGTCTCCGGATTCCAGGATGGACAGGGCGGGGCCGGGACCGGCGGGAAGGGGCCAGCTCACACTGCACGTCCACGCGGATGGACTTGATGGCCGGCACGCCCACGCCGTTCTCGGCCTTGCAGTAGTAGCGGCCGCCCTGCGTGCGCGCGATGCGCTCGATGCGCAGGGTCTCGTTGAACACCGACGTCTCCTGGAACTTGTCGGACGCGCTCCCGGCGGTCTTGGTCCACCGCACCTGCGCAGGCGGGGAGGGGAGGGACAGCTGCAGACCCCGCACTGAGGGTCGGGGCTCCGGGCTAAACCCTGCAATGTGTCTCCCCTCCAGTCCCGTGGTTTTTCATAAGCTTACAAGTGGCCTAAGAAACCAAACAGGCCTGTGGGAATGTGCAGGCAAGGTAGGACGTGGCAGCCGAGAGCCTGGGGAACCCGGGGTGAGATGGATACGGCTTTAAGGAAGGCAGTATGTGCAGTGCTTGGAGCATGGATATGTGGTCACCCAACCTCTCCTGCCTGCCTTTCCTCATCGGTAGGATGGAGAACACTGCCGCCGTCCTGGGGTGACCGGGGCAGGACAGTAATGTGTGCTTAGTGCCTGGGAGGCTTCAGATTTCTCGTCTGTGCAAGAGGGCCAGGTGGTAGCCAGTGTCCACCATGGCCTGGAATGATGCCTGCCTCCTGGGATTCACAGCTTTCTGTAGGCCCCTCCCACTCAGTACCAGGAGTGGGAGGGGCCTACAGAATAGGGGCAGGAGTGATGATGGTTCGTCACTTCCAAGATGAGGGTATGAAAGACTTGGTTGCTTTCTTGCTCTGGAAAAAGCCAGCTGTCATGTCACGAGCACCCCCATGGAGAGACCCACAGGGAGGAAGGCAGCCTCAGGTCAGCACCTAGAAGTGGCCTGGAAGGGGGTGTGCCAGCCCCAGTCAGGCCTCTAATGACGACAGCCAGTGAGAGACCCGGAGCCGGCGCCATGCCCATGCCACAGAACCCATGAGACAATAGTGCTTGTTGTTTTAAGCCCTAACTTTGGAGCACATGTGGGTAACTCTATCGTGTAGCATAACACCCACCCTGCAGGGTTGTTGTGATGTTCAGAAATAAAGTATGTGAAGCACCTAGGTGTGGGGCCTGGTATACACTGAGTAGCCAGATTATTAGGATCTCTAAATGCATTATAATCTGGCCACTCGTGTGTGTGTGTGTGTGTGTGTGTATGTGTATTAGAGGTCCCGTGCATGAATTCATGCATGGGTGGGGTCCAGTCAGCCTGGCCAAGGGGAGGGGACATAGACGGTTGTACGGCCTGCCTACTGGTCGGACTCCTGGTTGAGGGGACAATTTGCATTTTAGCCTTTTATTGTCTCGGATATACACTGAGTGGCCAGGTTGTTGTGTGTTCAGAGATCATAATAATCTGGCCACTCAGTGTATGTGAGTCACTCAATAAATGGCCATGTTAACATTGCCTTAGAGCACATGTGTCAAACACAAGGCCCGCGGGCCAAATCCGTCCCGCCAGGCCTTGCAATGTGGCCCGCACCGCGCTGTCATCACTGCACTCCGCTGCGTTTCCATCACAATGACAGTTTATGACTGTTCAGTAAACCATTCGGCCCGCGATTTAGGCTGGATTTTAGATTTTGGCCCCTTCTCTGATTGAGTTCGACACCCCTACCTTAGAGGATGGGACACTATCAAGGATCACCCAAGAAACGAGCTGGGCTGTGGGCCAGAGGTCTCTGGTCTCCACTGATAGGCGGTGCCCCTCGTGTCGAGCTTCCAGCGTTAGACACAGTCCAGCTCCAGCTCCCAGCCATGGACGGCCCTTTGGCCTCCACTCACGCCCCCTCCGAGTGTGCATGAACCCTACTCCCCTGAGGTCCAGGTGCTCCCTGAGGAACCAGGCCCTTCAGCTTCTGCCCAGCACCCTCGCGATGGATTCCTTCTGCCTGTTGGCCCGAGGGGTTCCCTCTCTTGACATCTGAGTGGAGAGTGCCCTGCCCGCGCAGTCCCCCACACAGCGGGCCATGAGATGGGGTGCTCCCCTTGGAGACTAGATGCTCCAGGACAACAGGACCATGGCTATACCCTGTGCCCCATAGCATGGCACACGGCAGGTACTCAGTAAATACTTGCCGTCATGAAATGAGTGAAAAGGGGAGGAACGGAAGGCGTTTCAGGAGATGACCTGTGAGCTGCAGCGGTTAAAACAGGAATGAGCCTGATGTATGACTGGAACACAGGGTGTGAGGAGGATGCCAGTGGGAGCTGAGACAGGAAAGGCAGGGGGGGGGCCCAGATTGTGGGAGGTCTTCGATTCTGCCTCCAGGAGCCTGGGCTGAGTCTGGTTGGCCACAGGGAGCCACTGAAGGTTTATGAGCTGGGCGATGCTAGGGCGTAGCTGGCTGGAGGATGAGGATCGGGGTCAGGGTGCAGGAATGGGCTGGAGGGGGAGACTTGGGAGAATGGGAGGCCAGGCAGAGTCCACTGCAGGGAGCCAAGGACAGGACTGGAAGTCTGGCCTCGAGGAGCAATGAGGAGCGGAGAGGAGGAGACCCAGGCACGGGCATAAAAAGGAAGGCCTCAGAGGCGGGCTGTCTGTGGGGAATGAGATGGGACAGAGTCCAGCAGGGGCCCAGGGGGTGGAGCCCAGGCAGCAGGACAAACAATGAAACCGGGGATGGAGATAGAAAAACGGAGGCCGCAGATGACGCAGACACGGGGGACCCCACAGATGGCTCGTGCAGCTGCAGGGAGAGGAGGCCCGGCTGCCTCCCTGGCGTCAGGGAGACCGTCCCTAATCGTCACACCTGACACAGCGCCGGCCCGCGGGCTGGCAGCGCTGCCTTCGCCTCTGCACACGCCCCTGAGAAGGAGCAAGCAGCTGTCGTGGTGTCAGGAGGAGCCGTGGGGGGTTTCCTTGGCCATCTGCTCGTCTCAAGGCCCAGCCTACGAAAGCCACCCCCGTTCCCGAAATTGTTCTGAAAAAGGGATTTCGCATTTCAGTCTCCTTCTAGGATCCAATCGAAAGCTTTTCTGCTGCTCTTAAAGGTCACAGAAGCTCACCAGCAAATTGCACCCCTCCCTCCAGCCCCCGTCCTCCCCCCTCCCCTGCCCCCCAGCAGCTCTCAGCGATAACCAGCCTCGGCTTCCTGTCTGAACCATTCCGTTGGTCTGGGGCAGGATTCACCTGGCATTTCCAGATTGCCGGCATCTGTTGCTTTCTAATTGCTTTGCGTCTTTTAATCTCCAGAGTGTAGGGCTTGTCTGCCAGAAGCCCCCGAAAATAGAGATTGTATTCAGTGTTGCTAGTAATTCCTGGAGTCCCCAATCCAAAGACGATGCCCTGGGAGGAGGGGTGCCCAGCGGCAGAGAACACTGGCTCTGCATTCGAATTCTGCGTCCATCTGCCCCGGAGCTGTGTGGCCTTGGGAGTTTACCTAACCTCCCTGAACCTCAGTCTCCAAACATGAGCCCAGGTTGGAGCCCAAGTAGCAGGAAAAACAATGGTTGTGATGAGCCAACGAGAAAGCCCTGGAGAAAGCCCCTCCCCTGGCGCTTGGCACCCTGGCCTCTAACAGGGGCTGACGGTGCGTCTGAGGGTGCGTCTGCCACAGACACGAGGGATGGGCTGGAATCGAATAACCGACATTCGGTGTTTCCCCTTGGCCCTCAGTGTGTTCAGGGGAATAAGCCCGCAGCCTCCAGCCCTTCCCCTAGGGAGTTCATTCTCCAGCCCCATCTCCCATCTTCTGTGTATTTGCCACTGTCACCCTAGCCCCCTGCTTCGGCTTCTCAAGCTGCAATCCCAGAGTGGGGGTGGGAGTAAGTGAAGGTGGGGGTAGGGATGGGGTAGGGGTGGGGAGGGAGAAGGGGCCGCACAGGCTGGATGGGGGCCTACCTGGGGCCGAGGGTGCCCGGTGACGAGGCACTGCAGCACCAGGGTGTCGCCCTCCCGGATGGTGTAGACGCGCTCGCTGATGTTGTCCTCTTTCACCACACACGCCTGGCCCGCGTGGACGATCTGGGCCTGGGCCGGAGCTGACAGAGAGCGGGAGGTTTAGACAGGAGGCCCCAGGGCGAGAAGGGGTCTGAGACTCCCTCCTGAGCATGTCTGAGGAGGGGTCAGCCCAGGCCTTCCTTCCCAGGCCTTTCTTTGGAGGCCTGACCCCAGGGAGCTCAGAAAGAATCTTCTCAGAGCCCGCAGGCCAGAACCAGAGAGGCAGGGAACTCAGGGGCACTTCCTCCCCATCCCACATCCTTGCAGGAGACCTGTGCTCTTCCATGAGCTGGTGAGGGGGAGGGGCTTTGTAATCGTACAGACGGGTCACCACTCAGTGAGCAACACCATATAGACTATCACCACCCAGTGAGCACCACCGTACAGACTATCACCACCCAGTGAGCACCACCATACAGACTATCACCACCCAGTGAGCACCACTGTACAGTCTGGTCACCACCCAGTGAGCACCACTGTACAGTCTGGTCACCACCCAGTGAGCACCACCGTACAGTCTATCATCATCCAGTGAGCACCACCGTACAGACTATCATCACCCAGTGAGCACCACCGTACAGACTGGTAATCACCCAGTGAGCACCACCGTACAGACTCTCATCACCCAGTGAGCACCACTGTACAGACTATCACCACCCAGTGAGCACCACTGTACAGTCTGGTCACCACCCAGTGAGCACCCCCGTACAGTCTATCATCACCCAGTGAGCACCACAGTACAGACTACCATCACCCAGTGAGCACCACCATACAGACTATCACCACCCAGTGAGCACCACTGTACAGACTATCACCACCCAGTGAGCACCACCATACAGTCTGGTCACCACCCAGTGAGCACCACCGTACAGACTGGTCATCACCCAATGAGCACCACCGTACAGACTACCATCACCCAGTCAGCACCACAGTACAGACTATCATCACCCAGTGAGCACCCCCCTACAGACTATCACCACCCAGTGAGCACCACCATACAGACTGGTCACCACCCAGTGAGCACCACCATACAGACTATCACCACCCAGTGAGCACCCCCGTACAGTCTATCATCACCCAGTGAGCACCACAGTACAGACTACCATCACCCAGTGAGCACCACCATACAGACTATCATCACCCAGTGAGCACCCCCGTACAGACTATCACCACCCAGTGAGCACCACCGCGTTAGCAGCCCTGCAGGGATGCTGCTGGTGCTCCACCCAGTTGCCTTCATCCATCAGTGCTTCCACCCGCTGCTCTGAGTGGTGGCCGTGGGTGCAGAGCTCACCTTCCCAGAGACTTGCCCTTAGCCAGCTCTTGGCTCAGAAATGCCCAGGAGGTCTCTGAGAGGGTGTGCATATCTTTCCCGATATGCACACCCACTCAGAGACCAGCAAATACTGGTCCTTTTGCCTCAAGATGGGGTGACTGTGGTGCTGTTCACGCTCCAGCTTCACCTCCCCCCCCACTCACACACCCTGGCCTCCCCAGACCCTAGGAACAGGCAAAGGCTGAGTCAGTTGAACCACATTTGTGCCCAGCTGCTCCCCTCATCCCCTCATTCTCCCCTGGTAGCATTAACCCACCCCAACCAGCTTAGAGAGCTTACCCTAAGACCCCAACCCCACAGACTACACATCCCCTCTCCCCAAAGCCCTGCTCATTTCCCCTATCGCTCCCTGAGCCGGTGCCAGCATTTTCTCCAAGGGACTGGAGTTCTCCCAGGGGGACCAGACGTTTTCAAAAAACTGGCTCCCCTGACCGCTCTCTCCGTGCCCAGGGCTGGGGGGCCCAGAGGGAAATGACAGAACTGAAAAAGCCCCCCCTCCCCCTGGACCTAAAGGCCAACCAGCCCCACCCCACAAGGGTGTGGGCTCCCAGGAGGACAGAACCCCAGTCACACCTGTCTGCTCACAGGGGGTAGGGGAGGGAGGGGAGGAGGCAGAGCTGTTGAGCACGAGGGGCACAGGGAGTGAACGCAGAGCCAGTGCCCTAACGAGGGGCACAGGGTGAGATAAAGCCTGAACACAAAGTGTGAGCTTCCTCCAGGAAGCGCCCGGCGGACCCACACAACCCTCCTTTTGTACGGTTACTCCCCCGGCACAGCAGCAGGCATCCACCCGTGTGTCACTGAACTCCGGTCCTTGTCCTTCTGCCTCTGGCTGTGAATCCTGGGTGAGCCCCGCCATGGCTGCCGCTCCCAGGGCACAGATTCCCTTTGGAGGAGTCTGGCCAGCAGCAAGGTAGCCAGACCCCCTGGCCTTGGCGTTTCAGTTTGTCCTCCACCCTGGCTCACCCCACCACCACCACCACCCCCACTGAGTCAGCGTCCCACACTTTGCTCATCCCCAGAATGTCTAGACTGTGTTTCTAACCCCAAACCATAGAAACCCCCCAGCGTAGCAGCCCCCAAAGGGGCTCTGTCCCACCTCCCCTCAGCCTCCCCTCCACCCGCCCCAGGGTGGCACTGCCAACAGCATCATCTTCTGATTCCAAAGGCAACCAGGCCAGGGCCCCTGTCAGAGGCCCCAGGACAAATATAATCCCTCCATCTCGTCCGCCAAACAGCCAATGCTCTGAGCCGCTGCCCTGCGGTGCTGACGAGGCTGGGGGGAAAGGGGGATGGGGGGGGGAGAAGGGGGGGGAACGGGGGGACGTTGGGAGCCAGGGACCAGCTCGGAAAGAGCATCTTTGGGGAAACGGTAGCAAACAGAAAAACAGAAACGAACCGGATGGTTTCCGGGTAGGCTTGGTGCTAAGACGACTCTGAAGCAGGGGCATGTGACAGGGACAGTGGGCAGAGGAGAGGCCGGCTTCAGAGCGACGGGGAGAGCGGACGGCCCGGGACGAATTCCTGGCTCTGCTCCCCATGGGCTGGGTGACACTGGGTAAGCGACTCAATCTCTCTGAGCCTCGGCCTCTTCATTTATAACGTGGGAACAATAATGCCTTCTCCTAGGCCTGTGTGAGAGTTTTAAAAAATATGTGCAGCCCTAGCTGGTTTGCTCAGTGGATAGAGCGCCGGCCCATTGGACTGAAGGAGACAGAGGCGGGGACAAGGAAATCCCGTCACTCACTGGCCCAGAGCAGCTCTGGGACTCGAACCCAGGCCTTCCGCCGGGTAGCCTGGAACTCAGTCCATGGCCCAATCGTCCTCAGAGGCCCCCAGCCCCGCCCTGGGTCGCCAGGGAGCCTGTCAGCACCTTCCCGGGCCCACGCGGCACCGCCAGCTCTGGCCCTCCAGACGCGGCCTCGGAGCTCGAATTGGTACCAGGTTCCCGGGAATTCCGGAGGTGCCACAGGGTTTGGTGGCCTCTGCTTGGTATCTCATCGCGGGCAGAAAGCAGGCCAGGACTTTGGAGCCAGTTGTTTCCCTGCCTCTGCTCTCATTTCGCTTTCCCCGCTCTATCAATAACCCCCCGAGAAGAGGACACCGGTGTCCCCCGGCCTGTGTGACGTAAGTGTCCACCGTGGTCCACTGCTGTGACGTAAGTGTCCATCCGTGGTCCACCGCCACGCAGCATGCTGCCCCCTCTCCTCAGAGCCCAGCACACAGAGGACGTGGTTAAAGGCTCTGGAAAGTCCTGCAGCAAACACCCCCGCTATCTTGGTTCAATCCAGTGCGTTCCAAGTGAATTTGACCCATAAAGCCCTGTCTTCACAGAGTGCCTCTTAGCATCTTGAGAGACAGCAGTGTTGTATCTAACAAGCGGAGAAGTGCTGATCCGATGCTCAACACAAAACTAAGGCTGCGGAGTCAAGTAACACCCCCCACCACACACACACACACACACACACACACACACGCCCCAGCACACACCACACGCCAGGCCCTGGCTGAGAATAGGAAACGGCATGAGAGATGACACCCATGGGGCAGCTTCACCAGAGGACGGCTGAGGCAGAAATAGCAGGACCCTAGCAGAGTGCTCCTGGCCAATCAGCTCACTCCTTTCTCCCCCCAAAACAAGGCACCTCAAATGGGCCAGTGAGGAAGCCACACACTCCACGGCTCACGGGAAGGCTAGTTCAGCCTGCACACGGGGCTTCCGAAGGGATTCTCACTGGAACCTAGAAGGGGGTTCCATCAAGGACAAACCCCCCCCCCCCCAATAAAAGAACGTACTCCTGGCTGCTGGCCGCCGGGGAGGGTGCTGACAAGTGCAAACAAGGCGGGCAGCCAGCCAGCGCATGGAACCTGAACCAAAGCCCCATCAGCTTTCCGCCAGGTTCCCTCCCTCCACATTGAAAAGGTCAATGGCAGCCACGTGGGGGCTGTTGTCCTGCTCCCTGCTCCTGCCTCCTTCAGGGGAAGGGTGTCTGCAGGCAGAGGACTTACAAACAGTGGGGGGAGGGCAAGGAGAGAAAGGAGAAGGGGCTGCAACTTCCCCACCTGGGGAAGTTGGTTCTAGCTGCCCCGTGGCCAGATGGCAGGCCAAGGCCCACGGCCCTAACCGCCTCCCGCGGCATCGTCGAGTGTTCCGGGCCCGGCCACATGGAACCAGGGTCTGTGTTCTGGTCCTGGCTCCCAGCAGACCATCATCCAACAAGTCCTTATGAGTGGGAGGGACTGAGCTTGGTCCTGGAGGGCAGGGGAGCGGGGAGCGAGGGCACCAGGCCTGCCCTCGGGAGGTGTATGGTCTGGGGGAGCTGGGCCTGCGGAGAGGCAGAGGGGAAGCAGGGAGGGCTCGCTGGGAGCTGGAGTTGTGTCTCTGGCCTCCCCCACCATAACATAGCAATAGCAGAACAGTGTACACATAACAGTGTCCACATAACAATTTACTCTGTGCATACGCTGCACTGAGTGCTTTATATCTATTATCTTATTTATTGCTCATAACAAGTCTATTATTGTTCCCATTTGTCAGATGAGGAAGCTGAGGCTCAGCAACGTTAAGTAAGTTGCCCAAGGAGGCCCTGCTGGTTGGGTGTCTGTCTGTCTGACTGGCCTCTGTGCTCAGCCCCACGCCTTTCCAGTTCCCGAGTGTCCACAAGGGGGAGGACACGCAGGACCGGTCACTGCGGGGACAGTCCC